TACAAGAGAAACTACGTAGCCTCACAATTAGGTAGGGTTTGAAGAGTATTAAAATACTATATGAGGAAAATCTTGAATAGATCCGGACTTGAACTGTAAAGTGCACGGCATAGGTAAGGTTGAGAAATAGTTCAAGTTGGTGTAGTGGTGAACAAAAAAATGAGCCAAATAAGATTATGAATGGTGTTGAGAGAGGAAATGTGCTTAGAGGACGCGTTAGAGGGTTATAACGAAACCTGGATCTGTTGTGGTGTGATATTTGCTCTGCACGTGCACTCGGGCCGAAACTCGAAGGCGACGAGCAAGTCGAGTCGTACTTCTACAACGCGCATTATCCGTTCCGCTGCCGCCTGCGCAGTGGGACGAAATTTCCTTCGTCATCGAATCGGACGAAAAGGTGCCTCGAGGGAGCCAGAAAGTGCGCTTCCTGCAGGAGGATTCGCCGGAGGAACCCGCGTGGTCGGATTTCACGGTGCGTCCGTTTCCCTGCTCGTTCGCGTGGTTACGCATTGTGCTCATATGGCGCTCTTCGCGGTAAATCCAATCCGCGGGCTGATGTACATTGGGGTTTATTATTTTTGTATCTGGGTCAGCGGGCCAGTTGGTTTAAAGGACTTTCTTTTGCAGATGAAGTCACTGCGTTCAGGCCCAGGTAGCATCAGCCGGGCCTAGCCGAACATAGCCACGCCTGTTCGGCTACGTCACATCAATCACACGCGTGGAGGCGCCTCCACGCAGCTCCCTACACCTACACCCACCTCCACCCACCTCCACCCACCTCGCCGGAACCTGGCCTGTGTCTACCATCCCAGAGCTCTATTTGCCCTCTCCCTACCTTCTACTTGTCTCATAGTTGTCTGCCGACAATATTGTTGACATCTTGATGCCATCATTTCTTCCTGTGCCAGTGCACCGGAGATCGGCGAGCAAGCTTGTATTTTGGATTTATTCCTATACAGCAATGTACGTAAGCAGGCGCGAAAGGTGAGATTTATGGTAGGGGGGGGGGGGCGGTGTGCAGTCTAGCGACAGGTGGGGAGGTGGGCGGTGCGGAGGGGTGCGGGCGACGGTGTCGCCGAGCCCGGGGGGCTTGTGGCGTGGGGCGTAGATCGTGCGAGAGATCGCCGACTCCGTGGGCTGGCTTGAATGCAGTGTGTAATACGTTTCGTAGCTTGGTGCTGACAAGGGAGTCCCCGATGTGAATTGAGCAGGAATGACTGGAGAGTCCTGCGACAAGTGGATTTGAGTAGAAAATACACCTTCCATTCCTATCCTCCCTCCGTTCCTGTGAAAATTCAGCTGCGCAGACGCAGATATTAGCTCGAAGCTGGAACACCTCCGAAAGAACTGCCAGTGACCAGGTTCGAAGCCTGCTATTGCGGTGGCAGTGTTTTTCCGCCTTGGTTCTTGTCCACGAACTTGGACGACGCCGATGGAACCTCTTTTTCTCCCTGACTTCGATAAACAATTGGCAACTGAAGCGAACATTCCAGTTTGATTGGCGCCCGCACACAGTCACGGTGATGACGCGCCAACCTGACTCACTTTCGCTCTCTTTCGCTGATGTCCTTCTCCGTACTCCACCTTGCTGAGTGCTCCCATCATGCCTCACGCAGTGTCTACCGACGGATTCTACGTGACATGGAACCACTCGCTAGCGGAAGACTTCAAGCAAAACGGCGCACCCGCCGTACCTGGCTCATGGGTAGCCGATGCCGCGAGAATTGGGGAGGAGACGACTCCAGTATCTGCGACAGCGCTCAGCCACGACAACGCGCTCATCGCGGCTGGGGTCGGGTCCGAGGTGCACGTATACGACGCCGCCACGGCGGAGCGGTTACACACGTTCCGCGGGCACACGTGCAAGATCCAACGCCTCGAATTTCACCCAACGCTGCGCAAGCTTGCGTCCAGCTCAGCCCCCAATGACAAGCTGGTTCGTGTGTGTGACCTCGCCATTCCCGACCGGGATCCAGCTGGAATCGAAACCGTCGCCAGGACAGCGAGCGCCGCTGCCGACCCGATGCTGCTGCGCCATTGGTCGCCGGAGGACTTCGAGTCCGCCGGCTTGCAGAAGGAGATGGCTGACATACTCTTCGCGGCGCAGACGAAGGTCGACCTGCGCAACAGCCGCGCTTTCTCTGGGGATCTCCCTGGCTGCGGATCGCGCGCGTTCAGCCACGGCGGACACTCGCTCCTCTACATTCGGGACCGTAAAGATATTGCCGTCCTGGATGTAGCGACGCTCGCGGAGCGGCTCTGTCTTTCCGGCCACACCGACGCCGTTATGTGGGCGGAGACTAGTCCCGACGATAAGCTCGTTCTGGGGATAAGACCGTACGCATCTGGAGCATGGATTCCGGGGAAACGCTCCACATTCCGGAGGGCGCCCGAGGCCAGAGCTGGGGCGGCGCGTGGTCGGCCGACGGCGCGCTCCTCGCAGTCGGTGCAGGTGACAGGATGGTGCGCATCTGGAATGCCGACGCGGGAGACCTGCTCCACACCTTATCGTGCGAGTCCAATAGCTGGGTGCGCAGTTTATCGTTCTCGCCCGGCGGCCAATATCTCGCGGCCGGTGCAGGTGGGGGTACTCTGCGTGTCTTCAACGTTGCATCCGGCGCGGTCGTGCAGCGCGCAAATCGACGTCACTAAGCACCGGTCCGCAGAAATTCTCTTGGAGGTTTCGTGCGTACGGTACACACCCCGCGGAGATCTCTTCTTCACCTCGACCGATGGGCGGATTTTTGGATACAGAGCGGCGCAGAACTTGAAGTGGGATTTCTTCGACCCCCAGTCTCGGTATTGCGGAGGGCCTACGAGCTCTGTGGATGGGTCCAGACTGATCGCTGGTCTGGGCACAAGTGTCGGCGTATGGAAGATCGGTGATGTCCGTGAGTTGTTTACCTGAATACGCTTGGAGTTGATGTTTTAGACTGTCTCAGTCTGACTACACCAAGTAAGTATGACCCGTCCTCGTACGCTATGGAACCCCGATCCGCCCTGCCCTCCGTCGAGTATACTATGCTGCCCCCCAGGCTCGACCCGACTCCGAACATCTCAGCTCGATTTCGGATTGTCTGAATTTTGTCCTAGATCTACCTGCGCCTCATCCAATTTCTTCTTCGGCGTGTCCTACTGCCTGCTGTCCTTGTGTTCTCCTCGTATCCCGCCATCTGCTTCGACTTGATTCAACTTCTATGGCGTTACCAGTATCTATATTGGACATCGGACTGCACGTCAAATGTATTTCCTAGCCCCTTAAAAGCTACCGACTCGGCACTGTGCCTTCCATAGAGGTAATCGGATGGAAACTCTGTATTGTGTTGTGTCTGTCTTCGCCGGCACCGGCGGCTGCTATCAAGGCTTCGAGCCGAGTGTCTGAAGAGTTCATCCACTTGTTGGTTTGCTCCATACAAAAGCGTTTCGGGGCGCTTCGTCCGAGGCTCTCTTCAAGGCCTCGTGGCATTACATAGGCTTTCAAGCTGTTGATGTTCGGGGTTAGGCTTCAGCCTCACTATTTGTGGTTCATTCGCGTTTTGAGGTTGTGTTCTGGAAATTATCCAGCGCGTTTTGTTGTATTGAATCAGGGAGGTCCGCTCGGACTCCAAGCTACGGTAATGTCGCTGTCATTCGAAGGTATTCCCTTAGTTTCTGGGGACGCTTCGCAAGGTTCGGGAATAAGGGGGCGTTTGAAAAACTCTAGGCTAGAGTCGAGCACGCTGAAGGGGCACAACATTTGCAGAGCTTCGTCATGACTGAGATGGTCGGCGTCCCGATTCCGATGCTAGCTAGCCGCGGCATATTTTCTGTTATCCATCCACTCTCCACTTTCGCACGTTGCTGTCGGGGCGCGTTTGTCGATAATGCACGCGCTCGTTTGCCTGAAGGAGCGGAATCCTTTTCGGGCTCTGGAACAATGATCAGAGATGGTGCGCGGGAGATCACCGGATAGCGGATCATGGGTGTTGGTTGGGACTAACCGTCTTGGGTACGTGGCTGTTCACGGGAAGGGATCCGGAGAAAATGCTCGGAATTTGAAGAGCCAAATTGGGCATAGTCTTGCGTTGATTCATTTATGCGGCGATTGAGCGCCGTAGGGGAACAAGCCGGTCCAATGTGAACGGTCCCACTGATCCGATGCAAGTCAACCAAAGCCCAGCCCATCGGTCCGATGGTAAGCCATTCATCATCATATTCTCTCACACAGATCGACCTACGACTCTAATGTGCGCTATGAATCCACGGGTGTTCGTCGCGCTGATTCTGTCAATGCGCCGCGCCGAAGGGATCAGTCCATCTGCCTTCCAACCATTCATTCAGTCAATCAGCATCAAGATTATTAACTACTAGCGCGGATCCCTAATTCACTAGTATCCGAAATGACAAAGATCCGGGGACACGAAATTCTGAATCGGGCTAGCGCGCGAAGGAATGTATATGCACAAGCATCGATATCTTGATGCATCAAAGCCACCAAATGAAGAGGAGCGTTTAAATTGCGTATGGTTTATGGTCTGGGCGTCTGTCGATTGGCAACCCATATCAATCGCTAGCGCGTAACCCGAGGGCTGTCCTCCATGCGTGACAGTGGTTGCGAGAATGATTAGGGCTTTCAGTAACTCGCCTGAAATGTGTGTGCGGTCGCGCGGAGTACTGAAATATTAATATTCCACGCAATTTCCGCATCGCGTGCCGGTCGTCCGTCCAATGCACAGGGTTCAGGAACCAGTCTGCATCTCAGTGGCGCGGATGATCTCGCGTATTTAACCTTACGGGGTGGCAGCACAGCATTGGTGGCCTTTGCATGTCGACGTCGTCTTTATGCCATTGAGAGTTTGACGGGATTGCGGCAACATTTTGGGTGTGGTCGGGTGGTTGAAGTTCAATATGTAGCACGAAAGGAGTGGACATAATTTTTTTTTGGATGCGCCTCAATTTATTGGGGCTGGTTACTGGGCTCAGAGACGGAAAAGTCGGAAGGAAAAAGATCCGAAAAAATACTCTCCGCCTGGGAGTCGAACCCAGCTCACACGCGCACAGTGATGGACTTTTTAATGACATATGACAGGCGTGTATACTAACCGATATACGAGCGAAGACATGATAACCGCTCCCCCTTTGAGTTCTAGGCCCAGGGCCTCAAAATTTTGGATACGTCCTCAGACGAAATTTAATCCGCGAGTCTCGATACTGACAGGCTTTACTTCTAGAAGTTCCTGAATCAAACAAGAGCGCCTTGAACACTGTTACCCCGAGAATTTCTCCTGACTCCGCACAAAAACTCCCAACTTTGAAATCAATGAGACACTCAGCCATCCTACTAAGACATTTCTTCCAGGCTCGCCGCGTTGTCCGAATTGTGCATCCCGCGAAAACGCTACACTGGAAGCACACACTACCCTCTCTACATAATTCCCGCACCCCGGTCCCGTCGCCCAGCCGACCCATATCCCGGCCGCTCCAGCCACAGTCCAGAAAGATGCCATCACCGCGCGGGCCTGTCGCGTATTTGGCGTTATCGCGGCGGCCACAGCCGCTGATCATATCAGGCTTCGCGCGGGCGGTGCAGAATGAAATCTTCGTGGTGGCGTCGGCGGTTTATAGCCATTGGTGGGCGCTCTTTGTGTGGGGATACGAGATGGGGGATCCCGAGCTTGGCGGAGGGATTTCCCAGAGCGGGAGCAGTATGATTTCGCTGTCGCAACGCGCCCCTGGCCCCTAGCCCCTCCGCGTCCTCTTGGCAGTCGTTCTGTGCCTTCTGCAATACATTCGTCGTTTTCATAGCGAGCTTCCATATAGCTAATCTCCGGTCTGTCGTCTTGCCGACGCCGAACACAGATTCGAGGAACAGGATACAGCCACTGATGGGTTGAATTTCATGGTTGAATAATGGGAAGCGGTTGGGCGCACATGATGCGCGCCCCGGTGGGGACGCCAATGGAGACCTTATTTTGTACAGATGTTGTACCCACTTGATGATACGCGTGGTAGGTGTACTAGTATCCGCGCGCTGTCTAATATGAACCTTCATCAGCGTCGGATCAGCCGGATCGTAGCCACTTGTCGGATAGGTAGATGGATCAAAGATGCTTCTGCCAAGGATGACCCTCGCCGACTCGCGGAATGGTGATTCTGTCAAGTACAACGCGATATTGACAGAAGACCATTCGTCCACTCGCCCACTAGCTCGATCTATCTCCAGCCCATTAGACAAGAACCGTGGGTGCTCGAAAGTTTGGAGAGAACTGGGAGTAAAATTATTTATTCGGAAGTTGGAAGTAGGATTGTAATCGCTATGGGATCCATCTGTATGGACGCCTGTAGGTCCCTGATTCAGAATTACTGGTCGCGTGAGAAACTGATTGAAATGTGGCGCCTACCCGGGGTATAGAATGAGTCTGAGAATGGCGAAGAGCGCAACCAGACACGTTCAAGCGCGCGAGTCGAGAACAGGCCGCGGATCACGATCCCGCGACATCTCCGCATAAAATTAAAAATACCCAGTATGATACTTGGCTGGCTATTTTTACGCACATTGGACGCCTGTTGGACCAAACGCCAAGTGGTGCAATGCCAGGATGATATGTGTCCAGCGCGATGAGATCTTTTCCCAGTGATATAATTACATGGAACGCGCCAGTGGAATAGCACCCGCGCCGGGAAAGAATTTTGACATCATCGAAATCAAGAAGGTTCCAACAACGCCACCCCAATACCGTACTCAACCAATGTACTTGGCTTCCCCTGCATAGCGAATCAATGATACGAGTGAAGCACCACTTCGTGATGTATCGTATACAGATAGTCGGTTTGCGCGTGCGCGTAGGGCAAGCGGGGTGCCCACGCGTTTATTGGTATTATAAGCCCGAAGGACTCCGCCCTCCACTAGGAGGGACGAGGCTATGAACCACGCTCACTCGCGCTCGAATCCATAGACCCACGCCTGAAAATAAAAATGAAATTTCAACACCATCGCACGAACATCAAAACACATGCCACGCGGCTGTGCCTCGCCCTATTGCTCCCACCTCCACATACCCTCAGACATAATTGAACACCCATCCCATCCCACCCGCGCCACCCCCTCTTTTTTTTTTCTAGATCTCCCGAACCAACCTCGAAAAATTTTCAGCATCAGCATCACACGGCTGTCAACAGTCAACAGTCAATCAACGCCGCGCGGCGGTGTCCCCTATATTTGAGATAGGACCCGCGCGCCCGCGCGCCGCCGATCGCCCCTTTGTGCCCGTCCACGTTTTTCCGCGCTCCGCCGACTGCGTAATCGGGGTGCGTCTGCAGGCGAAAAATCTACTGTACACAGGCGCTCCTCGAAGTGTGCTTGACTTCGGCCGCGTCGGCGCGCATTCCTCTTTGTCTTTCGTTCCCGTAGACCTAGTTTACGCGAGGAAAAAAGCACCATCGCTGCAATCACGAATCACGAATCTCAATTTAAAATTCCAACACGATGCGCCGCGGTGCTGTGCTGTGCCGCGTGCCGCCCCACCCAGTCCAATCCCTCCCCGCATAATAATATTCGACGCGCCACATGCCACGCGCCACGTCGTGATAACCGCACCCGCTTCTCGACCCTGCTAAAAACATATCCACAAGATCACAGCGGGCTGTGTCGGATGTCCGCGTCTACTTTTTTTAACGGAGCGTCGGCCCTCGCACTGGGAGCCCACCTGCGGAGCTCGCGAACGCGGACGCGGACTCGCAAGCGGATCCACACTCCACTCCACGCTCCACTTCACCCTCAAGTCCAACGCACGGAAATGGACGCAAAATAGACGCACTAAAACCCAACCCAACGCACCGTCCCAAAATACGCAGAAGATGCGATGATCACCCCGGGATCCATGCTGATGCCCGCCTGTCCAGCGTCCATCGTTCGTTCTTCGCTGATCCCCTCCGTCGCTGATTAGATCCGCGCGTCTTCGCGGTTCCCGATCTGCGTCCTGCCTTCCTGCCAGCGCAGCGTAATGTGATTTCGTATGTATGTAGAATGAATCCTACCCGGGTCCAGGATCCCAGATCGCTGATAGCGCTCCCGTCCCGCGTGATAGATTTGTTGTGGCCAGCCACGATATTCGGATCGCTCGATATATCACGGACGGACGGAGAGGCTGATCCGCTCCGAGGAGCTTGACTTGGACTTGGACAGAAGAGAAGCGAAGAGGGCGGACAGAAGAGATGGAATCACCGGAATCAGGAAATCGGTGCCCGCCATCGCCATGTTAGCAGGAAGCAGGAAGCAGGAAGATGGAGAAGCGAGATGCGTACCGCGAACACGGAAAACATCACGCGGGCGGCGGGTGATCCGTGATGCTGGGACGCTGTGCCAACTTCGATAAATTCAACTTCAACAACTTCAACTTGAACTTCAGAAATGAGGGCAAGGGCACGCCTGCATACGTGCAGCGCGCCGACCAGCGGTGCCGACGGCTGGATGAATTCAGCCCTATCTCTCCGCAATGAAAGGCACGGTCCACGTTCAATTTGAACAATCGACGACGACGCCGGCTAGATAAATTCATAAATTCAACCCTATCTCTCCGCCCCTCTTCCATCGGCGGTGCGCGTGCAATATCACCGTGGGGGAGCGCTGCATGCGCGTATCGCGTATCCGGGCTGTATGGCATACCCCGCCATGACGATGGCCCTCCGCTGGCAAATCACGCGTAGCGCGTCCAGGCGGTCGCAGCGCACTCATCGCTGGGATCCACGACTGGACCGTAGCTATTCCAGACCTCGCTGGATTTTAATTTTAATTATAAGTATAAGTATAATTACTGCCAGGGTCGTCCCGGTCAGACTATTTCGGGCGCCGGGCGTCGCTGGCGACGCCCGCGCGCTACGTACGCGGGCGCCGATCTGCGGCGGGGCACGGACGTGATCGCTGCTACTTAGGCGCCGGGGGGGTGATCCCCGCGCGGCGTTCGCGCGTCAACTTGGAATTGTAATGTGTACACTGTAGTCTTGGATAGGACAGCGGCGGATGCCACGCGATCGGCCCGTGGCGAGGACGGGCTTTCGATTCGGCGGTATGCCGACACTTTTGCGCGCTTTGTTTTTTTAATTACCTGGGGGCTGGATACCGCCGACTCGCGAGCGACTCGGAGGCGGCGCGTGGGTCGACAGGCTGCTGGCTACTGGGCGGGCCTGGACTCAAAGTTGACGCCGTCGGGCACCGTCGCCAGACTTGCCTCGGATGCCGTCGGATACTATGGGCCACCATCACCGCCGGGACGGACCGCAGCGGGTGTGGGCGCGGGCTCGCTGCCCGCGCGCGGTCGACTCCCCGGGCTTGGGACGCCGCCGGGACCCGTCGGAGACTCGGGCACCTGGACGCGCGTCCAGTTGCGAATTGCTTGTTGATCCGGCGTGCTTGCAGTCTCCCTAGTCAGACGAATAAACACATGTTTTTTTTTCCTTTGTAAGGCGGAGATGGGGAAAAAACTGTTTATGGCCTGCTTGTTCATCCGCCGCCGGGGAGTTGGTTGCTCAGCGGGTCCGGTCTGCGCGCGGAGGTGGGGTCGGAGTTGACAACTCCGACTTTGACTCCGACTTTGACTCCGACTCTGAGACACCGACTCCGACTCTAACTCCGACTCGAGGCAGGGGTTATTCAACCGGTACGGCGTCCATGTGCCGCGTCGGAGATTGCGCACCGCATATGCATGCGCGCTTTTAACTGCTTACCGGTACCGCGCGTGGTGTGGCGGCGGGGGTGGGGTCGGATCGTTCGAGTTTGGATTTATGTTGTTAGAGTGTATGTACGCTTATGCGAGGATGCAAGGACTCAGGAGGAGGAGGCGAGGACAGACAGGGGGATTTGCGCTGGGCGCGTGGTGTGGCGTGGTGGGGTTGGATCGATCGTTCGAGTTTGAATTTATGATGTTTCTATGTCAGTGGGAGGCGAAGATGCGAGGAGAGGCGAGGTGGGGGATTTGCGCTGGATTGATTTGCGCTGGGGATTCGCGATCCGCGTCGATATCAAGATAATCAGCGGAGAAATATATGTGTATGTATGAATCGAAGTTGGAAGCCGCAATCGAACAGGATCGGAGGATTTGGAATTTGGAAGAAGGTGGAATTT